ATTAACATTCTTCTCAGCAGTACATGGAACCTTCTCTAGGATTGACCACATACTAGGCCATAAAGCAAGTCTCAGCAAATTCAAAAGAATTAGAATCATACTACGCAGCTTATCAGACCATAAAGGAATGAAGTCGGAAATTAGCAACTCAGGAATCCCTAGAGCATATGCAAACACATGGAGATTGAACAACATGCTACTGAATGAACACTGGGTCATAGAAGAAATCAAAAGAGAAATCAAAAACTTTCTGGAAGTAAATGAGGATAACAGCACAACATTCCAAAACTTATGGGATACAGCAAAAGCAGTGTTAAGAGGAAAGTTTATAGCAATAGTTGCCTACATCAAAAAATTGGAAAGGCACCAAATAAATGAGCTTTCAATTCATCTCAAGGATCTAGATAATCTGCAGCAAACCAGACCCAAATCTAGTAGGAGAAGCTGGTTTTTTGAAAAAATAAACAAAATTGACACCCCATTGGCCCAACTAAGTAAAAAAAGAAGAGAGAAGACCCAAATCAATAAAATCAGAGATGAAAAAGGAAACGTAACAACAGACACCACAGAAATAAAAAGAATCATCAGAAATTACTACAAGGACTTGTATGCCAGCAAACAGGGAAACCTATCAGAAATGGATAGATTCCTGGACACATGCAACCTACCTAAATTGAACCAGGAAGACATCGAAAACCTAAACAGACCCATAACTGAGACAGAAATTGAAACAGTAATAAAGGCCCTCCCAACAAAGAAAAGCCCAGGACCAGATGGATTTACTGCTGAATTCTACCAGACATTTAAAGAAGAACTAACTCCAATTCTTCTCAAACTATTCAGAACAATCGAAAAAGAGGGAGTCCTCACAAATTCTTTTTATGAAGCCAGCATCACCTTAATTCCTAAGCCAGAAAAAGATGCAGCATTGAAAGAGAATTACAGACCAATATCCCTGATGAACATAGATGCAAAAATCCTCAATAAAATTCTGGCCAATAGAATGCAACAACACATCAGAAAGATCATCCACCCAGACCAAGTGGGATTTATCCCTGGTAAGCAGGGATGGTTCAATGTGCGCAAGACAATCAGTGTGATACACCACATTAACAAACTGCAGAAGAAAAACCATATGATTCTCTCAATAGATGCCGAGAAAGCATTTGATAAAATACAACACCCGTTCATGATGAAAACTCTAAGCAAACTGGGTATGGAAGGAACATTCCTCAATACAATCAAAGCAATTTATGAAAAATCCACGGCTAACATCCTATTGAATGGGGAAAAGTTGGAAGCATTTCCACTGAGATCTGGTACCAGACAGGGATGCCCACTCTCACCACTGCTATTCAATATAGTTCTGGAAGTTTTAGCCAGAGCCATTAGGCAAGAACAAGAAATTAAAGGGATACAAATTGGGAAGCAAGAGCTCAAACTATCCCTCTTTGCAGATGATATGATTCTTTATTTAGGGGACCCAAAGAGCTCTACTAAGAGACTATTGGAACTCATAGAAGAGTTTGGCAAAGTAGCAGGATATAAAATCAATGCACAAAAATCAACAGCCTTTGTATACACAGGCAATGCCATGGCTGAGGAAGAACTTCTAAGATGCATCCCATTCACAATAGCTACAAAAACAATCAAATACCTTGGAATAAACTTAACCAAGGATGTTAAGGATCTCTACGATGAAAATTACAAAACCTTAAAGAAAGAAATAGAAGAGGATACCAAAAAGTGGAAAAATCTTTCATGCTCATGCACTGAAAGAATCAATATCATCACAATGTCCATTCTCCCAAAAACAATTTACAGATTCAATGCAATCCCAATCAAAATACTGAAGACATTCTTCTCAGATCTGGAAAAAATGATGCTGAAATTCATATGGAGACAAAGGAGACCTCGAATAGCTAAAGCAATCTTGTACAACAAAAATAAAGCCAGAGGCATCACAATACCAGATTTCAGGACATACTACAGGGCAGTTGTTATCAAAACAGCATGGTACTGGTACAGAAACAGATGGATAGACCAATGGAACAGAATAGAATCACCAGAAATCAATCCAAACGTCTACAGCCAACTTCTATTTGATCAAGGATCTAAAACCAATCCCTGGAGTAAGGACAGTCTATTCAATAAATGGTGCTGGGAAAATTGGATTTCCACGTGCAGATCCATGAAGCAAGACCCCTACCTTTCACCTTACACAAAAATTCACTCAACATGGATTAAAGACTTAAATCTATGACCTGACACCATCAAATTATTAGAGAGCATTGGGAAACCCTGCAAGATATAGGTACCGGCAAAGACTTCCTAGAAAAGACCCTGGAGGCGCAGGCAGTCAAAGTCAAAATTAACTATTGGGATTGCATCAGATTGAGAAGTTTGTGTACTGCAAAAGAAACAGTCAGGAGAGTGAAGAGGCAACTGACAGAATGGGAAAAAATATTTGCAAACTACGCAACAGATAAAGGGTTGATAACCAGAATCTACAAAGAAATCAAGAAACTCCACAACATCAAAACAAACAACCCACTTAAGAGATGGGCCAAGGACCTCAATAGACATTTTTCAAAAGAGGAAATCCAAATGGCTAATAGACACATGAAAAAATATTCAAGATCACTAGCAATCAGGGAAATGCAAATCAAAACCACAATGAGGTTTCACCTCACCCCAGTTAGAATGGCTCACATTCAGAAATCTACCAACAACAGATGCTGGCGAAGATGTGGGGGAAAAGGGACACTAACCCACTGTTGGTGGGAATGCAAACTGGTTAAGCCACTATGGAAGTCAGTCTGGAGATTCCTCAGAAACCTGAATATAACCCTACCATACAACCCAGCCATCCCACTCCTTGGAATTTACCCAAAGAAAATTAAATTGGCAAAGAAACAAGCTGTCTGCACATTAATGTTTATTGCAGCTCAATTCACAATAGCTAAGACCTGGAACCAACCCAAATGCCCATCAACAGTAGACTGGATAAAGAAATTATGGGTCATGTACTCTATAGAATACTATACAGCAGTCAAAAACAATGAAACCCGGTCATTTGCAACAAGATGCAGGAATCTGGAAAACATCATGCTGAGTGAATTAAGCCATTCCCAAAGGGACAAATATCATATGTTCTCCCTGATCAGCGAGAATTAACTGAGCACCAAAGGGGAAACCTGTTGAAGTGAAATGGACACTATGAGAAACAGTTACTTGATCAGCTCTTGTCCTGACTGTTGATGTACAATGTAATACTTTATCCATTTAGTATTTTTTTGTTTTGTTTTGTTCTAGTACTATTGGTTGAACTCTGTAATTAACACACAATTATTCTTAGGTGTTTAAATTTTAACTGAAAAGTGATCCCTGTTAAATATAAGAGTGGGAATAAGAGGGAAGAGATGTACAGTTTGGGACATGCTCAAGCTGACTTGCCACAAATGGTGGAGTTAGAATCCTGCCAGGGGATCCCAATACAATCCCATCAAGGTAGCATGTACCAATGCCATCTCACTAGTCCAAGTGATCAATTTATGTTCACAATTGATCAAACTGATAGGTCTAAGAGTCAAAGGGATCACACGAACAAGACTAGTGTCTGCAAATACTAACTGATAGAATAAAAAAGGGAGAGAATGATCCATCATGGGAAGTGGGATACACAGCAGACTCATAGAATGGCAGATGTCCTAAACAGCACTCTGGCCTCAGAATCAGCCCTTAAGGCATTCTGATATGGCTGAAGAGCCCATGAGAGTATTTTAGGCATAGAAAGCCAAGACACTCTGGCGATAACAAAAAAAAATAGAAAAAATAGGGCCCCTAAATGAAAGATCTCCACGAGTGAGATCCCAGTGGAAAGAACGGGCCATCAAAGAAGGAGGTACCTTTCTCTGAAGGGAGGAGAGAACTTCCACTTTGACTATGACCCTTTCTGAATAAGATCAAAGTCAGCGAACTCAAAAGGCTTCCAAAGCTTTGGCAACTCATGACTAGAGCCTAGGGAGATTACTGATGCCATAAACAAGAGTGTCAATTTGTTAAGTCAACAACAGGAGTCACTGTGTACTTACTTCTCATGTGGGATCTGTCCTTAATGTGCTGTCCAATGTGAAGTAATGCTATAACTAGTACTGAAACAGTATTTTACACTTTGTATTTCTGTATGGGTGCAAACTGATGAAATCTTTACTTAATACATACTAAATTGATCTTCTGTATATAAAGATAATTGAAAATGAATCTTGATGTGAATCGAATGGGAGAGGGAATGGGAGATGGGAGGGGTGCGAGTGGGAGGGAAATTATTGGGGGGGGAGCCATTGTAATCCATAAACTGTACTTTGGAAATTTATATTTACTAAATAAAAAAATAAATAAAATTAAAAATTAAAAAATTTTTTAAAAATGCACACTCAATAACAATATTTTACATAGCACTAGGTTCACAATCTGTTGACATTTCGCACACTTTCCCAAAATCTTGAACTTTCCAGTTCTACTACTTTCAGTATATGATCTGAATCTACTCCTCCAGAATAGGACGAGAGACTGGATTGAACTTGGATGACACATACTCATTTGTACTTACACCTACATGTGAAATATCTAAACCCAGCTCAAAGCCAAAAAGAGCCCTGAGATGGGCAGTGAATTCATCCATCAGCATCACCCCACTGTAGTTGCTATAGCATTTGAGATTCCAGAAAGTTGTGAACCATCATTGCCCACCAGAGATAAAGGAAGATCAACTAACAAAGGGCAGCAGGTGGAATTCAAACCCTATTTCAGCAACAAGCAATTACGTCCCCCGGTGCAAGGAGCTGGAAAAGAACTGATGTTTGGTCCAAAACATCACAGCCTGGTGTCTCCATAAGGCACAGCCAAGCTTGAGGCACTGGCCTAGAATTCTCTATGTGATACCCATACCCTTCCATCCCCAGCAACCCCCAAAACCTGAAGAAGTTTACAGAGCTTGCCTTTGATCAGCCGCTCAGGTCTTGTGCCTGGCAAGGTCCACATTGCCTGTGCCAAGTGTCCAAAGACAGTGGCATCGAGTGTGGAAAACTTGGGCCCCATGATGTACTTCTTATCACCTGCAACAGACAGAACATAGAAGTCACTGGGATGGCCCATGCTGCCCACACAACCACAATGGCATTCAGCACAATCTGGTTATATGCTCACTTAACTGTGCACCAAAGGGCTTTGCAAAGCCAAAAATGCATGCATGATCTTTTTCTTAAAAAATTTAAAACACACGTAAAATGAATTAAGCAGTTCTATGCTACATCAACCCATGGGGTAGCAAAGCAGGAAACATAGCAAGAGAAGCACATGAGGGAGGACGTTCATGGAAAAAGGGAGAACTAATCAGAAACAGATTTCTAGGGAACTTTGTCTTGACCACTCACTTAAAGCTCGTGATGCTTGGGAACACCTGGAAGTTTGCTCAAATCATTTTGGCAGTAACCCAAACCAAGCACAGCCAACCTCAGCACTTATGTCATCAAATTAAGTACATTTCATCAGGAAAAACAAGAAGGCTAAGCTACTTATGAAGTTTGGAGGAAAGATTTTCATGATGTTCCACTGTCTGCACAAGATCCTCACCACTGGGCACCAAGAGAAGCTTTGAGGTCACAGGGTCAGTCTCTGGCATCAGGCACTCATACAAGGAGGTTTCGCACTACTGCTCCAGCACTGTGACCAGGTCAGGCCCTGTCACCTGGAATATCACACTCAGTCTATTTAAATTTCCTCAAGTATCCTGGGCCACCACCAGTTGCTATAACACACAGAGGCAGCATAGCTGGAGTGAGTCTACCTTGCTTACATTCTGGCACCACGGTCATGAACTGTGCGAACGTGGCCATTAATTAACCTCTCAGTCTTCCATCTGGAAAATGGGGATGGCATGAAGAGTGCCTACTTCTTAGGGGCACTGAAAATGCAACAACATACTGCGTGGAACTTAGCCCCATACAAAGGTAACTCAACCACTGGCTCCCATGATGATAGCCCCTCTCTTTCTCTGGTCATTTCCATAGCCCACTTGAATGTCAAGCACCCAAGACACTCTTTTCATCAGAAACACCTTCTATACTCTATGGAATACTTACAGAATAAGGTCCAAACTCGCAACTCAGAGCACATTATACTCTGCCTTCGACACTTGTCCCTGCGTTTTCCCTCAATCCTCCCTTCCTTGGGCAGAGCTTGGGAACAGACCCACTCCCCAGCACATTTAATGCCTCCCAGTGCTACATCTCAGCCTATGCTGTACCCAGCCCACTCCACCCTTATGTGCTCCCCGCTTTTGTCTATCAGGTCAATTCTATCCATCCTGTGAGCCCACCCCAGCCTTTCAGGTACTCTCTGCCTACTCCACCTGGTGGCAACAGGAGTTTTCAGTTCACACAGGCCCATGTCCAAATCGCACTTGTGCACATAAGAACTCACTGGATTTTAAGGCACTTAATGCCTGTTAACATCAACTTCCTGAAATGTAAAATGGGGCAAAGCTCTAGCTGTTGGGAAGAATAAATGAACAGAACACCCAGTAGATACATCCGGTCCTCTCCCCCAAGCCTCTTCAGTGGTACATTTTCCACACTGCTCCATACGCAGGCTATTGTTTATATGTGTGGTGTCTTTCCAGATAGATAGTAAGCCCTTTGAGAGTAAGGGTCGAGGCAGGCAGTGTGGCGTACTGGGTTACGCTGCTGCCTGTGACACTGGCATCCCACTTCTGATCCAGCTCCCTGCTAATGCACCTAAGAAAGTAGCAGATGAGGGTCCAGATGCTTGGACCCCTGCACCTACAGGGGAGATCTGGAGGAAGCTCCTGGCTCCTGGCTTTGACTCAGCCCAATCCTAGCCACTGTGGACATTTCGGAAGTGAACCAGCAGATAAAAGATCTCTCTCTCTCTCTCTCTCTCTCCCCCTCTGTAACTCCACCTTTCAAATAATTATATAAATTATAAAGTAGGGCCACCATTAGCTGTTGGGGCTATCTGGGGAATGAACCAGTGGATGGAAGATCTCTCTCTGTCTCTCTCTCTGTCTCTCTCTCTCTCTCTCACTATAACTCTGACTTTCAAATAAAATAAATAAATCTTTAAAAACACACATTACCACACGCACGTGCGCACACACACACACACACAATACTGGAAAAATAGTGGTAAAAATACTACCTGAGCAACAACAGATCAACAAAGAAAAGTATGTTTCATTTCTTTGCAAGAGTGTCAATTACTTCATGCTGCATCCTGCTGGCCCCATGCCTCAGCCACATACCTACTGGCATTAAGCAAATGCAGGTAGACAGAGGGATGCCAGGGCTCTCATGGCACCCTGCTAGGGCAGGAAGGGTGTGGCAATAGATGGCCAAATTGGGCCCAGGCTCAAACTACCCAAGGCCCTAACCTAGGCAGCCCACAAAGTGGGAACCACCAGAAGGATTAGAGCTATTGTGAGAAGGGCTACAGGGAGGAGAAAAAACAAGGTGAAAAAGGGTAGCCATGGATTCCTGAGCTAAAAATAAATGAAATAGAAGAAAGAAAATGTTGATCTTCTTGAACTGCTAAAAAGCAGGACAATAAAGGGAAATGTCAGAGTGAAATCTATAAATTATGAGGTCTCTTGAAGAAGACAAAGACTTAGGACACAGTGAGAAACTAACTATGGGTAAGAAATTGGGAATGGGGCTGGTGTTGTGGCATAGTAGATAAAGCCACAGCCTGCAATGCCAGCATACCATAGGGACGCCAATTCGAGTGCCGGCTGCTCCACTTCCAATCCAGCTTCCTGCTGATGTGCCTGGGAAAGCAGCAGAGAATGGTCCAAGTCCGTGGGCTGCTGCACCCATGTGGGAGACCTGGAGGAGGTTCCTAGCTCCTGGCTTTGGCCTGGCTTAGCCCCAGTCATTGTACCCACTTTGGGAGTAAACCAACAGATGAAAGATCTCTCCTTTTGTTTCTTTCTCTCTCAAATTCTGCCTTTCAAATACATAAATAAATCTTAAAAAAATAATAAATTGGAAAAACCTAAAAACAGAGCATATAAGACTTTGATAAAAAATAAAACCTAGTCATCAAATATATAAATCAACTGAACGCAGACTTCAACTAGAGCACACAGCATTTAGCCTAAATGCAGTTTGCTCTCAGCATGTTAAAAGTACAAGGCCATGAATTGACTCAGGTAAGAAGCAGATCAAGCATGCCAGCCAGTACCCAGGTCACCTGACTTTCCCCCTAAGGCTCTTTGTGCCCACAATCTGCCTGGCACACCATCATCTCAGAGGTAACAACCCCCGGAACAGCAGGAATGCTGGGCTGTGAAAGTTTACAAAAAGATACTTTGGTCAGGAAGGAATATAGACTAGATAGAGAAGCAGAAAAAGGAACAGAAATCTGAGGGTTTTTTTAAAAGGTACAGAATTTAGTATCTACAGAGAACCTTGACTGGCAGATACAAAATTGCACATATATACACACACAAGACAGCTGTCAACTTTTAAAGTCCTCAGAGTACCCACTGACTGGAAGCTTTCAAATTTTTCTTCTAGAATAATTTTTGGCATACAGAAGAATTCAAATATAACCGTCACTTCCAATAACATCCTACATAACCACAGTACATTTATCACAACTAAGAAATGAACCACTCGTAGAGTACTATGAGCTGCATTCTAGATTTCATTCAGATTTTATTAGCTTTCACACTAACATCTCCATTTTTGTTTTTGAAGCTGACCTACAATGTCACACTGCAGCTAACTGTTGTATCTCCCAAGTCTCCCCTAATTTGTGAAGGTTCTTTAGTCTTTCCTCGTGTTTCACATACTGAAACTTTTAAAAACTACTGCTCAGAGGGTGAGAGTTTGGCTAACAAGTCACTGCTTTGGGTGCCCACGTTCCATATCAGATTGCCTATGTTCAAGTCCAGCCCTGTTCCCAATTCCAGCTTCTTAATACTACACATTCTGGAAGGCAGTAAATGATGGCTGGGTCCTTGCCACCCATGCAACAGACCCAGACTGAATTCCTGGCTTCTGGCTCCAACACAACCCAGCTCCAGCTCTCTCTCTTTCTCTCGTTCTCAGGTTAAAAAACAAAATTCTTAGTCATTTTGTAAAACAGTCATCAGTTTAGGCTTGTCTAAGGTTTTTTCTGCTTTTAAGATTTATTTATTCATTTGAAAGGCAGAGTTACAGAGAGGGAGGGAGGGAAGAAAGAAATATACCATCTGCTGGTTCACTACCCAAATGTCTGCAGCAGCCAGGGCTGGGCCAGACTAAAGCCAGGGACCAAAGTACTTGGGCCACCTTTCTCTGCTTTCCAGGCTCATTAGTAGGGAGCTGGATCAGATGTGGAGCAGCCAGGACTCACACCTGCACCAATACAGGATGCCAGTTGGTAGCTTACGCCGCTGTGCCACGACACCAGTCCCTAAGGTTTTTATGTGATTGCATTAGGTCATGCATTTTTGGCATGAATGCCCCTCTGACAACTGATTTACTTGTCAATATGACTGGACCACGGTGTGCCCTGAAATTTGTTCAAACAATATTCCATGTGTGTCTCTGAGGGTGTTTTCGGATGAGGTTTGCCTTTGAATCAGCAGACTGAGTAAAGAAAACTGTCCTCCCCAGTGTGGGTGGTCCTTGTCCACTCAGTTGAGGGCCTGAGAAGAACACAAACGCAGAGGCTCTTTCAAGTGACAGAGAATTCCTCTGCTTGACTCTCTTCAAACTGGGGCACTGGCTTTTTATTACCTTTGGACTCAAAGCACCAAACCCACTGAGTCTCAAGCCTGCAACTGAATGAACTATGCCATCAGCTCTCCTGGGTCTCCAGCCCGCAAGCTCATTCTGCAGACTAGGGAACTTGTCAGCCTCAATAACACGTAAGCCAATGCCTAATCATCGATCTCTTCATGTCTTATTGGCTCTGTTTCTCTAGAAAACCCTAATTCTAACTACTGTTCTTCTTGAGACATCATATCTGGAGGAACACAAATGTCTATGTCTTACCCCACATGACCTTGACCGCCTGGTAAAAAGGTGTCTACCACATTTCTTCTCTA